GGGGGGGGCTGAAGAGAGCCAGGTACAGTGGTGCATGCCTGTGATCTTAGCACTTGGGAGGCAGAGGCAGGTGGTCTCTGAGCTCAAGGCAGCCTGGTCTAAAAGTGAGTCCAGGACAGCCAATAGAGAAACCCTGTCTGGAAAAAAAAAAAAAAGGCTGAAGAGGCTGGGTGGGGGTGGTGTATACCTTTAATCCCAGCATTCAGGAGGTTGGGGCAGGTGGATCTCTGCGTCTCTGAGTTGGAGGTCAGCCTGGTCTACAAAGCAAGTCCAGGACAGCCAAGGCTACACAGAGAAACCCTGTCTTGGAAAATAAAAACATACCAAAACCCAACAATCAAACCAAAACAAAACAACAAAAAGATAGAATAAATGAGGGGGCAGAACCGCAGCAGACCTGGAGGTGTCGCTCAGAAGATCGAGCTTACTACCTTGACCCAGCATGGAACAAGTATCTCGATTGCTTTCTTTTGCAGAAATGCACAGGTAGGTCCTAAAACTCACAAGGGCAAGGAACCCGGAACAGCCAACACAGGAAGTAGTGTAGAACAAGCCTGGGGTGGGGTGTGGCTCATAGGATAGAGTTCTGGCCTAGGAGGCAGGGGGCCCCGGCTTGGCTCCTCATGACCTGGGTATGCCGGCATTTCCCTGTACCTCTAGTATTTTCGGGTTATGGGCAGTAGCACCAGCCTGCTTGTGTTCAGCTACAGAGTGAGCTGGAGACCAGAGTAGACTCCAGGAGACTCTGCCTTAGAAAACAAAAAGCCTTGGATGGCTGGAAGGGCTACCCCTCCAACACACTCTGTGTGTGTGTGTGTGTGTGTGTGTGTGTGTGTGTGTGTGTCTGTGTCTGTGTTTTGAGACAGGGTCGTCCTAGAGCTTCTTTTTTTTTTGAAAAAAAAAATTTTTGACAGGGTTTCTCTATGTAGCCTTGGTTGTCCTGGACTTGCTTTTTATAGACCAGGCTGGCCTCGAACTCATAGAGATCCATCTGCCTCTGCCTCTCTGAGTGCTGGAATTAAAGGCAAGTGCCACCATTTTTTTTTTTTTTTAATTAAAAATGTTTATTGACTGTGCATGGCTGAGGCTAGTCTGGTTGTCTACACAGCAAACTTCGGGCCAGACGGGTACACTGTGAGACCTTTTCTCACAACAAATATGATACAGGCCTGGAGAGATGGCTCAGAGGTTGGGGTATATGGCTGTTCTTCCAGAGACCCTGGGTTCAATCCCCAGCTCTCATATGGCGGCTTGAAGCAATGATTAACTCCAGTTCCAGGGGATCCGACACCCTCGCACAGACACACATGCAGGCAAAACACCTACCAACGCACATAACAAAACCCCCAAATGTTTTTTTCTGTTATGTGTGTGTATCTGTCAGTTTGAATGTGCGCTGTGTGTATGCAGCTGCCTTTGGAGGCTAGAGGAGAGACCAGAGTTGAAAGAGCTGTGAGCTGGGTGATGGAGGTGCTGGGACCCACACGCAGGCCCTCTGCAAGGAGCCTGGTGCCTTCACCCCTCGGCCCTCTCTCCAGCCCCAGGCTCACGCTTGCTGATTTCAGATTGTAAAGTCACAGAAACTGGAGGAGAGGGGTGCAAAGTGACAAACACATAGAACAGGGATCGGGAAAACCTCATACGTGGGGATATATGTAATATACATAATATATATTTTTGTTTGTCTGATATTTTTTAAATTTCTTTTTTCTAACTTAATTTTTTTTTAATGTGCATTGGTGTTTTGCCAGCTGTGGGAAGGTGTCAGCTCTTGGAGTTACAGGCAGTTGTGAGCTGCCATGTTGGTGCTGGGAATTGAACCCAGGTCCATCTGGAAGAACAATCAGTGCTCTTAACCACTGAGCCATCTCTCCAGCCCCTGTTTGTCTGTTTTGAGACAGGGTTTCTCTGTGTGGCCCTGGCTGTCCTGGAATTCATTCTGTAAACCAGGGTGGCCTCTAATTCACAGAGCTCCAATTGCCTCTGTCTCCCTAGTGCTGTGATTAAAGAAAGTATTTTTTTCAAACAAATGCTACTGGAGCAGTGATCTGAGCAAACAAAAATAAATTCAAATTCCCCTTATATCAGACTGTGAAAAAGAGTGAAACATAGACCAATGACAGAAATGAAAGGTTACAACCTTGAGGCCTTTAAAAGAAGGACAGAATTCTTTGAGATTTTGGCTTGATAAACCAGAAGTATAAGTCATTAAAGGAAAAAAAAATAACTGAATTTATAAACACTTAAAACCCATCAAGAGCTGAAGAGGTTGCTCTGTGGGTACGGCACTGGCTGCTCTTGCAGAGGCCCTGAGTTTGGTTTTCAGGCCCATATGGTGGCTCAAACCGTCTGTGACTCCACTCCCTGGGGCTCTGACACTCCCCTTTTCACTTTCTCTGGTACCGTGGTAGACAGACATATATGCAGGCAACCCTACACACACATGAAAGATGATAAATTTTTATTTTGTTTTTGTTTTCCATTTTTCTTATTTATTTTTTATGTGCATTGGTGTTCAGCCTGCTTGTCTATATGATGGTGCCAGATCTTCTGGAACTGGAATTACAGACAGTTGTGAGCTGCCGTGTGGGTGCTGGGAATTGAACTTGGGTCCTCTGGAAGAGCAGAGAGTGCTCTTAACCACTGAGCTATTTCTCCAGCCCCTGTTTTCCATTTTTCAAGAGAAACACAGGTTTCTCTGTGTAGCCCTGGCTGTCCTGGACTCACTTTATAGACCAGGCTGGCCTCGAACTCACAGAGATCTGCCTTTCTCTGCCTCCTTGAGTGCTGGGATTATAGACATGCACCACCACGCCCAGCTGATGAACAAATTTTTAAGAAATTATTTTTTTTAGACAAGTAGTTTGGGGGAGGGTTCTGTGGAGAAGGGTTCTTATAAGGGCCTGAGTTTGGATTTCCACCACCAGGGAAAAGCTAGGTGTGTCCACATGTTCTTGGCTCTCCAGCACCTGGGAGCAGAAACAGGTTGATCCCAGGAACTGGGCGGCTATATGGCTAAAAGGTGAGCTGAGTCAGAGACTCCTGTAAGGAATAAGGTGTGCAATGATAAAGCAAGCCTGCCACTGTCCTCCACGGTCTCTGTAGGTACGCGCACGCGCACAGACATGCGCGTGTAAGCAGATGCATACATCATGGACACTCAGAAAACCTATGGGCCTAAGGATGGCTCAGGAGAGTGCTTGTCTGACATGCGTGAGGCCCGGGTTCCATTCCCAGGACCACGTGCTGGGACACATCTGTAATCCCAGCACTCGGATGTATGCAGGAGGATCCCGATGTTCAGGGTCATTTTCAGCTCTACAAGTGAGCTTCAGGTCATCCCGGGATACACTACAGCACGTCTCAGAAGGAAAACAAGGAAACAAAGGGCAAAACTTGAGGTTGGGTGGTGTAGCTCAGTGTAGGGGCAGAGGCTAGGCATGTGTGAAGCTCTGGGCTCAATCCACACAGTGTAGGAGCAGAGGCATGGCATGTGTGAAGCTCTGGGCTCAATCCACAACACCATAAAAGACAAACCATTTTAAAAATCTTTGTGTATGTGAATTACGGGCGTGAAAGTAGGAATCTGAGCAGGGCGGCTGAAGGAGGAGGATTGCCTCAAGTTCCCGGCCAACATTAGCCAAACAACAACCCAGGCAAACGATATTGGGTACTCCAGTCCATGCTGGCTGTTTCAGCTACTTGGGAGTTCAAAACAGGAGTACCATCAGAGCTGAGAAATTTAAGACTAGCTCAGGCAACATAACAACAAAACAAACCCAGAAACAAGCCAGCTAGGCATTGTGGCACATGCCTTTAATGTCAGCATTCTGGAGGCAAGGCAGGTGGATCTTTGTGAGTTCTAGGCCAGCACAGACCCGTTTTTTCTTTTTTCTTTTTTTTTTTTTTTAAGCCAGGGATCTTACTGAAGAATTTCTGTGTATTCATTCATTATGAATTGAAATTGTCCTGTTTCAGATCCAGTTGCTTTAAATGCATTACTAGAATTAATTTTATGCCACGTTCTGCTTTGAAAAATTGCCTAGTAAAGGATTTAAAATTATTTATGTGGCTCGCTTTATATTTTTATCAGCCATTGTAGAATGGGTAGCATTCAGTTCTTCATAGGATAAAAATGTCACCCACAAGCGTTTGTCAGACCAAGCCTAAGGTTGATGGCAGGGTGCTGGTGGATCGGGGTTGAGGTCCTGCCTGGGGAGTGGTGGTTCCCTCCCCTGCACTTTTAGTCCGAAAGGGAAGGGGGAGGGTAGAGATAAGACCCTGGTGGTGGCCCTCCCCCCCCCCCTTTTTTTTTTTTATCTAGCGGAGAGGCTGACGCCGCCCTTGTCACTAGATTCACGGATGATGTCTAAATATGACTAATTAAAAAAAAAAACAAAACAAAACTAACCTGCAAACCATGGCGATTAAAAACAACAGAAAAGGGTGGGCGTTTTATATAATTTGATGAGCATTACTATTCAGGCAGAACTCCAAAATATAGTACCTTTGAAAGGTTATTCATCAGATCCCAAATACGTTTGGTAATGACGTTTCAGTCAGTTCCTAGGATGGGCGGGGGCGTG